CCATCCCTGCCACAGATGTCCACAAATTGTCCCATCTGGTCGGAGATAGCAAAGATGGTCCCAAAATGCTTCATCCGTTGAGCGGCCGCGGTCTGTCCTCCCCACACCACTTGATGCTGAGGTTGGGCTTGGAGAGGAGGAGGAAAAGAGAAGTTGGCCAAGAAAGGCCGATAGATAGATTGAAAAAGGAAGAGAGAAGAGGACAAGTTGAAGTAGGGTGAATAGCCTGCTATGGTACCTCGGGTTCACCATTCCCGTACTCACAAGTTGTGAGCCCCTGAGAGGCTAAGGTATGATATGTACCACGCTTACCATGCATGACAACCCAATTTCTCAAACACATTAGCATGGCAACAGAGAGTTTTTCAAACACACCTTCAGTCGTTCGAGTCCTGTCCGACCTGTCAATTGTAGGAGCTGTCAACTGTCATTTTCGAATTTTGTTGCAATCAGAGTTATTCGAACAATTTTTGTTTGTATCGAAATTCTTCATTATAAATGTATGCGGAAAGTAGAGAACAGAAATCGAAGAAAATGTGTTAGGTAGGTAGGTACCTGCATTTTTCCAAAAACTCTAGGTGAAAATGATGCTCTCATCTTTGGGGGTAATTCAATCTATGTTAAGCATGACAATAAACGTGAAAGACAATATTCATGTGAGCAAAATTATGCAATCAAAATATGGTTACAAACCTGAGAAATCGAAAACTTTGACACAGCGTATCGAAGAGTTATCATCTACTATAAATATCAGATGAAATCTTGTTGACAAAGGTCAGTAAACAAGCCATGTATCCTATGGACTTCGGACACACATCTACAACCGATATAACTTATACGTGTCTCGTTGGTTGCTTTCGAATTATTTTGTAGGTCAGAAGGTTGGTTAATGTAATTTTCCGAATTATGAGATCTAGTCGAAGAGAAAGATTATGAGTTCGTACTACGAACTTCGTAGAAAAAGTATAAGTATGTAATACTTTTATTAACTCTGCGCTCTCCTGCGTACGTGCTTAAAATACTCGTTACTAAAATGACGTCTATAACACTTGTTACATAATATACAATTAGTTAAAAATATGTCAAATACTCGAGAGCGGCGGCACATTATAGGTTTTTGCATGCGGGCTGACACCCTATAGATCGGCCCTGTATAATAATGTTCAAATTTTGAATGGAGTTGGTCGTTATACTTTTGATAAAAATCCATGGTAATAGTCAAAACTTCACAAACCATAAGATTCGCACAAAACTCCCAGAAACAAATGTTTCTCTGATACAAAAGCTTCTTCAGGGATATATACATTCATAAACTAATCTGAGTAGTGAGCATGTTAGCTAATCCGTCATATACGTTTGTTGATGACGATGATTTCAAATGATTTCGTTTTAATCCTTCACTTATTTTCTACCTGTAAAATTTATAAATTTTCATCGAAACTATATAAATTTTCTGATATAATAAATTAATAGTTTATGTTAAATCGTTTAATGAAAAAATGCAAGATATGAACAATATCTAGGGACCCACAGTTCAGTCAGGTTAGTTTATCGTTCGTGTATATTTCACCACCCTACTGTGTCACAGAAACATGATTATTAATTTAGGTATTACTCTGTGTAAACGTTTGATCCTATTGAATGGCAGGTCATTGGTCCATGAATTCTTTATGATATGGATTGATGTTATTCCATGAATCGTTTTCATGCGTTGGAACCTAATAAGGAGATAATGATTTGTCCCACTACACATATTTTGAAATAATACTCATATTTTCATTTTATAGAAACGCGACGAGAAAATTCCAAATAATCAAGTAAAATGAAGATAATGTCCATTGTTCTTGTTTTGTTCTTATCGTAAAAGGTACGAGCATTACAAAATAACTTGGCTTCGATCGTATAATTCAAATATATATCGAAATATTCGAAATATGGGTATTTTACCTTTTACCTACTTGGTCATGCTTCAAAGTTTGAATTTAATTGTAGAATAAATACGGGGAATACTACCGGAAATCTATCAATGAATTGTCGTCATATTCTATGTAAATATTACTCACAATATAGTTGCGTGGGTTAGTAAATGTTTTAATGATCTTAGAGGTGATATATTGCATAGGTGAAATCTTTTGGCAGCATCACTTATTTTTATAGGGTTAGATGAAGGTATATTAATTGTAAACGTTTCATTCTAGTTAATATCAGAGTTTATGCCGCGATAATTTTATAGAATTTGTTTTTACATCTGATGACATTGAAATGCAATTGCACATAAAAGGTATATTTATTATAGGTATCAAAGATTCAGATACCTATATACTAAACCCGATTGAAATATGATTTAGAACAGAGGAGCTGCTCTGATGATTTTGTTGGGTTCCATGACTTGGCATCATATATTTGCTCGTTCGCATGCAGAATCATGATAGGGATATATTATAATTTTATACATACTATACGACGTAAAACATACCCATTTATTACCCTTTCGATTATATTATATTTTATTATTGGCTATATGTATATACAGGGTGGAGCATTAGTGCGTCGGAGCAGGGGGCCCGAAAAAAACCTAGAGGGTCAGGATCACTTTTTTTAATGGATACCCTGTATATCGGCAACCTTGTTAACTTATCCACTCCTATGATATCTTTGACTATATGTCGATCATTTCAAAGTTATTGATTTATTTGTCGAAATAATGACATCTACAGATGCATACCGAAAAAATCTTTGTCGTTACAATTATGAAATTTAAGAGAGAATGATCATATCAGTCGATGGAGAGATGCGTGATATTTCTGAAGAATTTTCATGCCCCAAAATTATACAGGGTGGCTAAAAATTATTTTTCAATTCGGAACTCTTCCGAATTTTTCTCGAGTTTTTCCCGATATAGGTTGGTCATATTCATCGATACACAAACCGAATAGAAATAGTTTATATGCTAGTTATTCACAAAGTGAAAAAGAACAAAATTTCCGTTTTCCATAATTTCATATAACAGTTCAATTGTAAATTATTATCCTCGCTTAGTTTTCAATGTGCTATGAATTTATGAGATATTTTAAAAATGTAAATTCCTTTTTCACTTTGTGAATTACTAGCATATGAACTATTTCTGATGTTGCTTTCATTCTGGTTTCAATTCTTTCAATAGAAAAACTGGTTTACTAAATTATTGATTGGACTTTTGAATAACATATGAGAATGTGTATCGATGTAAATGGATAATGAGATAAAAGATGTTCATGTTTCTTTTCATCAAATGATATTATTATTCTCTCTTGAATTCCATGATTGTGACGACAACAAAATTAATAAATTTGATATGATCGGGATATATAGTCAATGATATCATATTGTAGTTGATGGAGGCCACAGGAATGCTTCACAGAATGTGCTAATATACAGTGTATATTAGGCATCAATAATTTCTAGTCATGGACCTTGTTGTCTCATTCACATTCGATTTTGAATCAAGTTTCTATCTTTTATCCTTTATAGAACTCGAGCAATCGAGCTCCGACGAACTAATGCCCTTTAATGCTTTAATTCCAAGTATTATTGGGATTATGATGTTTTTGTGTAGCGTATATCATTAAAAAAATTGATGTTTTTTTTGCGTTGGAGATATCCTGTTGTTTGATCGATAATCTGGTCGATCAAGAAACTATTGAGTGGTTATACAATCAGCTGAAATATCTATCTTCGAATCTACTTGGCAGCTATCAGCATGATTAGATGAAGGATTTTTTATTCAGATTATAATGTGTGATGATATAGGCAATTATTAAATATATAATTGAGTATTAATATCTTTATGTTTATAATGATTGGTGATGCTGCCACTTATAATAGTGTTTACATTGCGTGGGCGCATGGGTGCCACCACTTAAGGGCATCAAGGAGGGGGGGGGGGCTGTTCCCCCCTGGAATTTAGCCCTTTCGCCCTTTCGGTCTAGATGCGACAACACCATCATTCTATACCAATATATACCTGATATATTTTATATACCTTTATGTAAATTGGAAGTTATGACCATAGGGTGATTCAAAAGTAGTTCAAGTAGACAAACTTCAGGAGGCGATTCCTCATAATATTCTAATATGCATTGTGCAAATAAGTATATGTCCGGGAACGCTTCGTTTCCAAGATACAGAGGGGTGTTGAAATGTTTGTTGTTGTTGTTTATTTTTATTTTGTTCCTTTTTTGATAACTGGTGTTATTATTGCTCTCAATCGTAGGGGGCCCAACCAACACGTCTTTTTCTAACTTCATAACTTTTTTGAGCGTAATTATAGCACATTTTTCAGTAAAAAATCGGATTCTCTATGATATCTACGTAAAAAAGCTACCCCTGTTACAAGTCGCTATAAGCAACCGTTTTCTAGATATTTGGACTTGAAAATTTCAAGTCGATTATTTGATAATCGATGCATGGTGAAGTTATTACAATTTCTTTGCATTTTTTGCAAAAATGCCAGGATAATGCATTTGACGTTTAAGTAATAAGTAGCTTTGGTAATTACACAGTTGAAAGTTTTGTTGAAGTTTCTGTAAAACGAAAATGAGAATAAAAATTCAACATCCTGTATCTTGGAAACGAAGCGATTCCGGATAAGTATATACTCATTTGAACAATTCATATGAGGAATCACCTCCTGAAGTTAAGTACGTTTGAATCACTCTGTATAGAGGTACGGTCGTCAAGGCGAATACAATCAGTAATCAATTTTTCAATCGATTGAACTATCAAGGTCATCCTCGTACACCAATTCTGATTCGAATGGGTAGTATAATAGGCATTATTATAGTAGCGTTAAGTCGATAATTTTCCATTATCGTGTTTGAAATACGTCAAGTGATAGTCAAAATAAAAAATCCTCTCTCGCGTATATTTTACGGCATCCAGATTAAACCACGCGCCGACACTGAAGTTTGTAGAGTGGGGCTCGATTGAGTATAAATATTATACATACTACCCTAAAGCCCGCATGAGCTGTGACATCGTAAGTTCGAACAGTTTTGGTTTGGCATAGACCTTACCTGTCTCCAGTTTACATCTACGTGACTAATCTAGTGTTCGTTCAATATTTTAAAATTTATTCAAAATGTGTGTGAGTAGATTACCTAGTGAAATCGAATTTCAAAGGACTAATACAAATAATAAAGATGTCAGCGGTTTTGTTCCTAAGAAGGCCAAATCCGAGGCCAAGTCTAATGGGGTGGTCTTGAGGGGGCTAAAGTTTTCGAGAAAAGTCTCCAAAACGGTCGTGAGTGCTTCCAAAAATGAGTACGAGGAAGATATTTTGGCTGTGTCAACGCGATATACCAAAGATTTTTTTGCATATTTGCAGTCCCAATACCATAGATTCCTGACAACTAATTTCTACAAGTAAGTGAAAAATATAGTTATCAAGCTAACTGCATATACTTAAAATATAATTATTATTGAATATCAGAGATATGGATTACCAAAATTATTGTTTTCTGCACTTGGAGTACCAGGTTTTGCACCGTTAAATATGTAGTTGCATATTAACCGCACACTTCTTGCATCATATATTTATCATGATGCTGTTGAGGTGTTGAGGAGTCAATAAACTGAGCAAATATATATTAATATATTATGTCATATAAACCTACTTATACAATTTCGTTTAGATGTATGATCAATTGATATTCATCATACAGGGCGGGGAAAGAAATTCTGAATTGAGGAAAGCCCATCACGAATCTGGGATGAGGAGTCTGTAAAAATAACAAATTCCCATCGATGAAGTTTGAACCCCTTTTATTGATTGGGTATGAGAGTATTAAAAAGAAATATTTTTATAGATATATTATGAACGGAAAAAAAAAATTATACTCATCTACTTATAAAGAAATACATATTGACAATAGCCAGGAAAATATATAGTTGATGTTTTTTGTTGAATAGTCCGAATGATATTATATACATATATATTTTTATCTGAAAGAGAATGCAAATTCTCCACTTCAGACAATTTTATTTTCAAATTATCATTGTGTGTGCTCCACAGATTCAATTCTATGTTGAAGTGGCCAGGAAAGTAGTTGTTTTCTATTGAATATACCGAGAAAGAATAAATATTTTTACTCTCATTTTTCTCAGATAGAGAATGCGAATTCTCAATGTATTTCTTCATACCTATGTATCCATTTTTTTATATTCATGATATATCTGAGAATATTCCTTCTCAATACTACTTAGGAATTTCAATTTCTGATTTCTTTCTTCTCTACACCAAGAAGGCAAAGGCGCTTCTATTTTATGTTTGTAATAATTGGAATTATCGGATTGTTCAGCTGATGGAGAATAGATAATCGCTTGTTTACTAGTCCACATAGAATTCACATTAGTTCTACATCAGAATAATAAATAAATCAGCAACACTACGTCAAGTTGAACCTATACTTACTACGTACAGTCAGATGCAAAGAAAATGTCGCGGTTTGGATGGTGGTAGAGCTCTTATTGCAGAAGTGACTATAGGTGTTATCACCGCCCGTATGTTAAGACAAACATCAGCTAAAATCTAATATTTTTCCCGTGTATATTTTTCTGTGAACATTATATTGAAATCAGAAAATTATCGATGTGAAATTTGAAGTTGCAAGCATCTTTGTGCTATGGAAACCTTTTGAAGTAATCAAATATCATTATTCTGTATATTGCAGTTTAATCATTCCATCAGTTTATCATTATGACTTCATAGCTTTTCACATCCAATTCTCAAAGCAGTTGATATAATATTATTGATACTACCTACCTACCTATTTGAATTGGTATACATTTTGTTTTCTATATTGTCTAGTTGACTTCATGCCAAGAATGAGAATTGCATCATTACCAATGTAATTGTTATATCCATATATGAATCAATTATATCGATTTTCTGAAAACTTCTTGTTTTTGATCCATGAACATTCAATTCCATCCTCGAAGATTTCACAAGTGAATATATCACAATATGCGATTGACTAATCTAAACGAATAATAGGCTGATCAATCGCCGAAAGTCACGTACGCAAAAATAATTATTATTGTGCTCCGATGTCTCCGAGTATTCCGAACAATCAGGTTTCAAATTGCTATAAGAATGAAAACTCAACATGTTCACTCTAATTTTCACCTTATGCTAGGTACTGTGAATTTTGCACACTATATTGATGACAAGATGATAATCTTTGGCTTGATGTAAATGCCACTTTCCTAGACAGAAACAGGTCGAGGTTATAGTTATTCATGGTACAGGGGAAAGAAGTATTAGATTTTAGATAGAGGTTGTCTTGACGTGTATTGCGGAGAGAAGAAAAATCAAGAGCTAAAATCTAATAATTTTCCCGTGTATATTTTTCTGTGACAGGAAGAACGACGATTCAATATTATAGGAGGATATTACATTATATTGAAATCAGAAAATTGTCGTTGGTATGGAAATCTTTTGAAGTTATCAAATATATGTCAATTTAATTCTGATATTGAAAAGGAATATCTTCAGATAAATTATGAACATACAAAAATGGATATATATTTATATAAAGCAATACATTGAGAATTCGCATTTTCTATGTGATGAGAATATCAACTCTTTTTCAGTTTATTCATCAATAGAAAACAACTACTTTCCTGGCTATATGCCACGACGAACATTGAATTATATCTATTGAACACACACGATGAGAGTTTGAAAATAAAATATAAAAACTTCTGAAATTGAGAATTTGCAATCTCCTTCAGACAAAAATATGTATATGCACACATCATTCTGAATATTCAAGAGACCTCTAATCGCAGATTCGTGATAGAGTCCCAATTCAGAATTTCTTTCCACGCCCTGTATGATGAATGTCAATTCATCATACACCCAAAAGTAATTCTGATATGATTTTAAAAAATTGCTTCGGGTTTTTTAGTAATTTACGTAATCGCGAAATGGAATGGGAGATAAAAAGGACTTGCAGTTCTTTCTCGGAGACGGAGACCTATACATACAGTATGATGCAAATGTATGGAATGAATTCATTTCAAAACAAGACGACTTTCGAAAAAAAAACAAAAACTAGAGTTTAGAACTTTTTTTTCGACGTATTTTTTTAACTAGACGACCCTTCGATGTTCAATTCTCAGGTGCAGACCTCTGCAAGATTCAATTAATCACATGATAATCCATTTTAATTTCAATCTTCTTATGCAACATTTTGACTGTTGAATAGACGATCGGTAGACCTTTCAATCAAGGTGTCACATGACCCCTATTTGTATTTGAAAAAATCATCCATTACGTCTTTACTCCAACACCGGTGACGTAACATCTCTCATATGAATATCATGAGATGAGGCTTCAGAAATTAAAACTCACGTGTTTTTGGAATTTTTTCAAATGTCGCCCATTTCTGAAATGATGAATTTATTCCATACATTTGCATCATACTGTATATCCGGGAAAAAAGTACCTAGTAATTTTATAGAAATTGACATTTTGTTACATGTCAACAGGGATGAAGTGAAATATTTTTTCCGTCACAGAAAAACGCTATTTTATACACACATCAAAGAAAGGCGGAAGGTCGCTTATGAATAATACATATTTTATAAAGGGCAATGATTTTCTTATCCACTGAGCTCTGCTCTATAAAAACTTTTTTTTTCAGGATTCTGGTTTATACAACACAACCTGCCCATTTTGTGACTGCCGTATCTGTGATATGGATAGCCTACTTGATGTATCCTAGCAAAAGCCATACACCTATGTCTCCTTTGTGGAATCTAGTCTACTTGGGATCTTTCAGTGCCCATTTCGGAGCGCAAATTTGGATGACATTCGTATCGGGTTTGGCGCTTTATTTCACGCTATCGAGACATACTTTTGGAACCATTCAACAAGTATTGTTTCCAAAATACTTTTTGATGAATGCTGTACTGAGCTTGATAACGTTGGTCATCTATCTGAGGACGAATAATCATAAATTCAATGAGACTGAAACCATCATACAGGTAAGAAGTCGCAATTTATAATGATTTCATTTATGCTTATGTTAATTGCTCTTGTCATATCTGTCAAAAGATATGAGTCCCGTGCTGTCAACAAGTTATGCATGATAATATCAAGTAGGACTCTTACATTCATATAATTTCGTTCCATATTCTGTGGTCCAATAAAATAATAATTCAAGAAACTACTATATTTGCCGTTCAAAAGTGGGCCCTTCTCATCAAATTTTCATATGGAACCGTAGTCACCTTGTGAACAACATTCTTGATTTTCAAAAACTAAAAAACTATTCCAAATTTGATTGAGGCATGTACAATAGGACAAAATCACATTATGAAACTGAAATAGGAACAGTTTCGCTCGTATTTTTGCTAAAGATACATTTTGAAACATCAATTTTGGGATATTTTATGATTCCGCGTCACCTGAATTGTTCTTATAATAAGTATGTTCATCTTAACTAATATAGACGATAGAAAGAATATTATGAATTACTATCAGAGTTACTACTAATCAAAATAATTCGATCAAAACTTAATTTGTGCTGAACCCAGTTGATATATCTTTTGCATACTTATTTATTTTGGAATAGACGAATTCACGTTTCCATTATTTCCATCTCGAATCTGGAATTTATTTTTTCTATCACTAGCTATAGAACCTACCATTATTTACATCTTTTCAAGGCATAAAGTGTGTTTTTTCCACCAAGGTAGTTTTCGTCATTTTATGAACTACATAAAGACATAGCCACTTTTGTTATAATCAACTCGAATTCACTGTTTCAATGCGAGATTCGTAGGAATGGCACTCGATTCTAGTAAGTTTTCATCAATAACGAAATATTATTATGCTGTCATGGTCATTCCTACTCGAAAATAAGTTCTTTCATAGTGACAAAAGGTCCATATTCAGAACTATAATTGAAATATATAGCTAGTGGTGAAAAAAATCAATATACTCCTTGATAGTAGAGAATATTACCAAGAGACCTTAGTGCTGAAGCCTCGGGATATATTGGTCGCTAGGTAATGATGAAATTCTTTACTACTCTGGTGTATGAATAACTCATTGGATGGATGTGTTCCAGAATTTCTTCAATTTTTTTTTTATTCCAGACGACTGCAATGTCGCTGTGTTTCATGGTAGAACTGATAGTGCGTCTTTACCTGTCGCCGCCACTATTAAGTCTGATTGGTGAGAAACATCTTATTGAGAAGGAAGCCGGAATTGGAATGGAAATCGGCAAAATCAATCTCGGAAGTCTGAAGAACTGTCCATTTTATATGAAAATTCACAAGAAATTTAGGAAGATTCATATGACTATTGCAATGTTGAACCTGATAGCGATGGCATGTACAGTGTTACAATTGTATTATTTATCACATAAGTTGTGTGCGTTGTAAATAAATTGTTAGTTTTTTTGTTCTCGAATAAGCACTAGGATTAATTTATTATTTAATTTATTCAATCATACAAAATCAGTATTATTCATTTTTTATACTCGCTTCAGAATTGATTTTGTAATAATATACATCAAGTGAACTGATATGTTTTTTAGTAAACGTTGATTTAATATCATGATATTATTTTATGCAACATGTGTTTTTTTTTCACGACTATGGGACTTACTCTATAGGGCCTACATACGTATAACATCAACCCAAATAAAATCAATTCAATTTATATCCCTCCTCCTCCGCTGATGGGTCCCTATCCATCCTAAAGAAAAACTTTTGAGCAATCGAATTCTTTAGCCACAATGCTTCATGTCGAATAACGTGAATCACCCGGTATACTGTGGAAAACGTTCCACATAAGTTTTTTTTGTTATGATGCAATCAAAGCATAAAAACCGATCAGACAGTGACGACAAGTCATTCATATTATGGTTAGGGGTGGGCAAATGTATCGATATAACGATAATTATCGATAATATCGATACAAATTCAGATACAAAATTATCGATCCATCAATTATATCAATAATGTCGATTTTTAGATAAAATCGATTTGATGATATCAATTTTTTTGAATTGACTCGATCGGTACTTGATGGACATCCATAGCAAATGTAAAAACTTCACAAACGATGAGATATTTCCACAAAATTCCTAATCACACAACATGTTTCGCTAACACAGTAACTTCGTCAGGTGATATACTGGTACAATGAACTAAACCAACCTTGACTTGCTTAACTCTTATATATCGTACTTTCCCAATTTGAAGGATTAGTTACCTGTGGACAGTTTCGATAAACCTCAATTTTCGGAAATTAGGCACAATATCTACATTAAAATACGGTGTACCGGATTAATTATTTGAAAGAAAACAAATTCAACATTGGTGAACTAATTAATAGATAGACAGTATTCTTCCTAAAAAATCTCATAATAATGCTATTCAAGAAGTTTATCCTACCATCAAGAATAATAATCAAAAGTATAGAATTTTAACCTATTTCGGATCATCAACAGAAAAATTAGCTTCATTTCTACATAAAAGTAGCATATAGAACAAATGACATGTTGGGAAGGTTTATCAAAAATAATAGAGACAAAACTTCTAAATTCGAAAAATCAGGGATATACAAACTCAACTATGGATCTTGTCCTAAGGTATATATCGGTCAGACAGGTCCTACGTTTAATCAGTGCATTCATGAACATAAGATGAATTCTTTGAAAAAGAAAACAAATTCAACATACGCCCACCATACATTAGAAGAAAACCATAGTTTTGATGATAATTTCGAAATTCTACACATATAAAATAAAGGAATGAAACTCAATCATGTTGAATCATTAGAAATCAACAAACTCAATTTTTTTTACATTTTACTGAACGATCAATTAGACCTCAATAGTTCACCACTATCGAATTCATTTTCTTAGTAGTTAATAATATGTATTTGCTATCAACCCTTTCAAGTTAATCCGGTAACACCGTAGTTTAATGTAGATATTGTGCCTAATTTCCGAAAATGGAGGTTTATCGAGCCTGTTCACAGAGGTAACTAATCCTTCAAGTTGGGAAAGTAGGATATATAAGAGTTATGCAAGCCAAGGTTGGCTTAGTTCATTTTGTGACAGTATATCACCTGACGAATAAGCTACACTGTATTAGCGAAACATGTTGGGTGTTTAAGAATGTTGTGGAAATCTTATCGTTTGTGAAGTTTTCACATTGGATATCAATTTGTTGATAATATCGATTTTTTTATGAAATCAATAATATCGATATCGATAAATATCGAATTATAATTTTCGATTATTTTCTAAAATTTTCGGAATTCACGTTGATTATTAATCGTTATCGGCATCTCCCACCCCTACTATAGTTTCAACTAGGACGACTGCATGGAAAACCTTATGGAAGCCTAATATATGGAAATATGTTCAACTAATTGAGTCATTAGATTCCAATGATTTTGAATTAGGCTTCATATATATTCATTTGGTCAGTGTAAACATTATTTCAGAAGCAGCACAGTCTACTGTCTTATTTGGAATATACTTAGTATACTTACCTTTCACTCCGTAACAGGCCTTAATGTTCTTTTCCGTACGTCCCCATTATAAAAATAGGCGGTATATAGTCAATGGAACATATCCACTACCGGGTGTTCCTCAATATTTGCTCACCCCTATGACTTTTCTACAGATGAATGAAATTCGGTGTGTGAGTTTTCTGTCTCTTCCGGTTCGACCGGAAATAACTCTTATTTTGTTATTTTGAATGAGATGAGACACTCGGTATATTTTTACTTACTTCGATAGATCGATGTACCATTCAAAATGAATAAATGAGGGTGTAATTCCAGGTCAAACCGGAAGTGAAAGAGATCAAATGAATACGTGAAATAATGCATATTTATGTAATATACTTACACACCCAATTTCATTTGTTCATCTGTTGAAACAAAACAGTTATAGGGGTGAGCCACTTCGGAAAAACACCCGGAATATCGATAATATCAATTATTGACGAAAAATATCTATAATATCCATAATATGATAATATGATGATATCGAACATATCATATATCAATAGAAGACGCCATCGCAACTGTTATTGCCGAGATAAGTGAATCTATTGATCAAAAAATTCCAATACTGGGTATATTTGTTGATCTGAGAAAGGCGTTTGATACAGTTTGCCACGAGAAGTTGATGAAGGTGCTGGAGAGTATAGGATTCAGAGGATTACCATACGACCTTCTAAGAAAACAACACATAAAAATGGTAATAGTATTAGCACAGAAACAGTAGTCAAATACGGCGTTCCTCAAGGAACAGTCCTCGGTCCAATGCTCTTCAACATATATCTCAATGTTTTTTTTGAAATTGATACGAAGGATCAAGTGGTGACTTTTGTTGATGATACAGTAATATTATATAAAGCAGCCGACTGGAGCGAAGTGAAAAAAAAAGCCGAAAGAGATTTGTCAAAATTATGCGTTGGTTCAGCAACCGACTGCTCACTGTTAATTTCAGCAAAACATATTTTGTACCCTTCTCCTCATATCCTAAGCACCTGCCATCTTACGAGACGCTTGATATTATTGATCAAAATACATCTTTTAGTATAACAGCACAACCGCACATAAAATACCTTGGTGTTTTTCTCGACCACAACTTGAAATGGGATATTCAAATAAATAAATTAGTAAAAAAACTGAGATTTACCTTATTTGAATTCAAGTTCCTTAATAAAATACTAGAACAACAACAAATGAGAAGTTTGTATACTATGCACTGGCAGAGAGCCATTTACGTTATGGAATATTAGCTTATTAGCATGGAGTTCCGCCACCAATAAATATATAAATCCCTTAGAGCGAATACAAAACCGAATAGTCAAAATCACATATTCACTTCCTATCACATTCTCAACAGAGGAGCTATATACAGTGACAGGACACCTTGACGTACCACAACTATACTTTTTGAAAACTGTAGCTAGACAACACATTCACAGAACAGAACTAAGACTTCCCGACCACACGAAACAGACAAAATTCCTATATAATCCCTAGACCACGAAAAAATATCTAACAACATAGTTTCGTTTACTTGGGACCGAAATTATACAGTTTGATACCAGTCGACCTGAAACTGATTTATGCAGAATCTTTTCATCTCCAAACTGAAAAAATGGATAAAAGAAAAACTGAGATCGAGAATCCATCAATTTGTTGAAGTTACAAATACTTCTTATTAATATGTCAAAAACGATATCATATGTGTGTATACGTCCATTTATATTTAATTTGAATTGTATTGTATTATTGATATGCTATAGGCCGAATTAACATTAGAATTTGATATCAAGGACTTTCCTTTAGTAGTTGCAGCAATTTATTCACCATTTTATAAATACTTTGTTTTAAATACCTTCATGTAACTCATTTTTATGGCAAATAAATTTTTATTATTATTATTATATTATTATATCGACAGTATCTATATTATCGATAAACTGATATAATCGATACATTATGCCTTTCGATAATCTATAATCCAAAATCTTCATCGCCCTACCCTTATCGTATTGCCACTGAATCACCTAATCTACCTATTTGAAACATTGTTATTCCGCATAATAACTAATATTTTTGTTATAACTTTAGGTACATAAAAAATTCCGAAGATGGAAAATTTCTGGATAATCTGCTCCCAAAATAAATTTATGTTGCATTGGGTCATATATGAAAACAAGATTAAAAATAATGAGTTAATTGAAAGTCGCGAACATATACTTATATTGAATTCTCAAATTTGCTGTTGTTTACATTTTCAATTGGTGACGTGCGGGTAGACAAAATGTTTGCTCAATTTTATTATCCATCTAGTCTTGTGACGGACATTTTATGCGTAGGATGTACTGACGTAAACTGTGTGTATATATATGTATATGTCGGCGCGAATTAGTGAAATCCGAAATCCGTTATTCCCTGAAATGCTTAGTCATTTCACGTATTGTCGGCAAACAGCGTAACTTTCATTTTCAGCCGTTACTCTGTTTGCCGGAGGGTTGAGGAAGGAAAATATCTTTTTCTACAAGCGTGCGTGATTCACCCTATACCCACACGCAATTTAGTTTGGGTGTGGGTGTGTCATTTTCCCGCAACATTGCGGGAAAAACAAAGATATGATACTATGGCAAAATATAAGATGATAGGTGATGGAATATGAGAGTTTGAGTTTTTTTGTAAGTATGTATGTTCAGAATCATCCATTAAATTGTACTATTTATTATGAAAATTAGGAAATATTGAAAAATAAAAATTGATTATTATAAAAATCCCCCTATAGATTTGGGTTGATCCGATGAGAAATGATTATTGTTGTCATGCCAATCAAACCTCAAATAAGTTCGAAATTGTCGAAGTGACAGACACAGCGTTATTGATCAAAAACTTCTAGCTAAAGGGATTCGATACAGATGCGTTATTACCAACGAAGTCTTAAGAAAGGTATGAGAAGCTATACACGCGTTTTATTGAATGGTGCAACAATAAAGAAATGAAAATACCGCATGAAGAATAGGTATTTTTGGCTCATTTCATAGAAGTGTCTGAAACCTAGAGACC